TTTTTTTTTTTTGGTATTTTTTCGACAAGGTTTCTCTGTGGTTTTGGAGCCTGTCCTGGAACTAGCTCTGTAGACCAGGCATGTCTCATACTCACAGAGATCTGCCTGTCTCTGCCTCCCAAGTGCTGGGATTAAAGGCGTGTGCCACCACCGCCCGGCTATAGCACCTTTCATTGAAGGATTTTTGCTTAACATAACAAGCAAAAATAAACAAAAAAAAAAAGAAAAAGAAGAAAAGTCAAAGCAAATGGAACCCCCAGATCCCTCAACTACAAATGTCAATGATGAATAAAGCATTAAAGACAAATACAGAGTAACTTTTGTTTAGAAACACATAATGAATATGAAAGACCCCCAGTGTGGAGAGACTCTCACTCAAGTCTCGGCATAACACGACTACTCCCCCCCCCCCTCGCAGTAACTCAGGAGAGACGGTCCTTGCTGCAATCACACAAGGTTTATTGACAGGTTACCAGTACACTGGGGCTGAGACTCTAACCCACGCAGGGGAGGAGTTCGACCCGAGTAACTGGGAGAAGGGGTTCTTAAGGGAAGAAACCACAGCCCAGTAATCCGAAGGGGGTAGGGAGGGCGGCAGAGAAAATTTCCAAAATACCGGTGATGATCACAAGGGGGCAACTCCCTGTTTCTCAAGACTATTCTCAAGATTACAATCTAATTTTATCTTCAGTTAGTTCCTGAAACAGAGTTAGTAAACGGGCTAGTCACAGATTTCTGATTCTTCTCTCCCTGCTTAGATTTTTGGCTCTATTTTTTCCTGCTAGGGGTGGGGGGTCTGGATTTATCCAGGTCTTTTAAATACTAATATTAGTATTTAAAAAATTCAAACAGCCCCATTATCCTCGGAGCTCCCCCTCTGGGTCGGGCCCATGTTCCCGCTATGGGTCGGACCGATGCTCCCGCACTGGGTCGGGCCGTCTCTGGATCATTTCTTGGCTCCTGGATGAGGCAGCACAGGACCTCGCTGAAAATTGCACCGAAGATCATCATTATGGCCGTGCCAATGATCACTGCTTCATTGATGTATAACTTGCTGTTGAAGACATCACTGATGGCTTCTGGGCAGGACTTAACCTGGAAGGTTTCAATAACTTGCTTTTGGGGGCAGATGTCCGAGATAAACTGTTCCTCGCCTCCTGCTAGGCCACAGCAGTTCAAGGCCACGTGGATGGCTTTGAGTGTCTCCCGCTGGGGCCCATCCA